GGCTGGACATATCTGCCGAAGAACCGACAACCGCTGGGGTAAACGAGTTCTTGAGTGGAGACCACGACTTGGCAAACTTAGTGTGGGACGCCCTCCAGCCAGATGGAGTGACGATCTGCGGAAGATTGCTGGCAGGAAATGGATGCGTCAAGCCGAGAACAGGGCGAAATGGCGTGCATTAGGGGAGGCCTATGTCCAGCAGTGGACTGCAATAGGCTGATGATGATGATGATAATGAGATTCAGAAATTCCATTACTTGAGATCAACACTCAGCGGTAGTACATTACAAGTAATTAGTGCATTAGAATTTACCGCCGCTAATTACATACACGCATGGGATTTACTTCAGATTCGATTTCACAACCCTAGGCTTTTAGTGCACAATCATGTAATGTCATTGTTCAATATTTCACCCTTGAAATAAGAATCGTTGACTCAGATACGGAAACTAATAGATACTATTTATCGTAACTTACGCGCATTAGATACGTTAAACGCCGACCGATTACACATTATTGATCTATTTAATCGTTTCAAAACTCGATGCTACCACAGAACGTAAGAGGGAATCTCACATAGGGTCAATCTCTAACAAATCCAACAATAATAAGTATACAAAGATTATGTTAGAAGATCTCGTATTGTTTCTTAGAAACCGAGCCGATACATTAGAAATGATAACCTCGAATCATACTAAACCGCCAACTGCAGCTAGTAGTAGCATGAATTACACGCCCAATACTAAACTCATGCAGGTAGTTAGCTGTGTTTCTCCTGATGTGAATTCTACCGCGAAATCTTATAACCGCTCACGCGAAGCGCTCCTCCTACCGCAAAATGGCGGCTATTTGGTTTCGCAAATTAGAAAAGCATTCAGTTTAAATACGTTTTTTTAAATAAAAATTATTATTCTGCATTGCTAAATAAATACCCTCCGTACTACCAACAAAAACATCTCAAATAAAATGCAGTAATACACCGCTAATCCTGCACTTAAAAAGCACTAATGAAATTTTTGGTGTACTTGGATAAATAGGATAATATTCCGTTTGAGTGGTTCTAACGTTTACCATGAAATTACTCCTTAAAGTATAGTTTATAAACATTTATATTTAGGGTAAATTTAAAAACGCTACTTACGGTATGTTTTCAATAAATAAACACCGAAATCACCAGCCCAAACAATAACACACATGATTGTCGTGACGTATTTTTGAAGTTGTTTATTTTTTTTAAATGACAGACCCAGGCATTTAAAACTTTATGGTTTGCTAGAGTAGTTACCGAAAAAGCAATTAATATTAGTTCTTTTACCTGTTATAACTTCGATATCCGATAAATCGGTATAAAATCATCACTGGCACCTCTAGGTGTGGTATGAGTCTACGGCCGCATGTATCGCGTGAGCGGTTAAGAACAAACGTCTTCGCAACTGTGTATGTGTAACGAAAATCATGCGCTATATACGTGTGTTAAATTTTTGAATTTACCTGTTCAGGATAGGTTAACTTTTGTTTGTAATATAGATTTTTGTAACAATTGCTTACGCGAAGGCCATTCCTTAAATGAATGTTTATTCGGTCCGTGCAAACAGTGTCAACAAAAACATAATAGTCTATTGCACGTGAGGAGTAGACGCGATGAGAATGTGTGCGTGAGACCCTCGAATGCGCCTCCACACAGCGTTCCGCTAACGAATACATCCAGCCATTGTGCATCAGCTGACCGTGCAGCGGCGGCGGCTTAGTGCGGCGACGGCGCAGTGCAAAGAACCCGGTTCATTCCTCTTTCAGTTTTGCTTTCTACGGCGTTAATAGAAGTGACTGATGAGAACAATCGGTTCCACATGGCACGGGCACTTCTTCACAATGGTAGCGAGCATTGTTTCGACGTGACTCTACGAAGATCTGCCGGCTCCTGTCAGAGCCGGCAGTCGACGAGTGATGACTTCTGTTGGGAGCTGGTGCTCCCAAGGCCGGGGGCATGTTCGCGCCATCTAGCGGCGCGCGGCGTCATTACACCAACGACCCTGCTCGAATTTGAATTCTTTTTCACTTGCTATACGATCGTCCGTTAGACTTTACAAACATTAATCTTTTTTGTAATTATTTTCAAAGTTTGAAAATAAAACGTGTTACGAGGGTCAAATAAACGTCTTCATTGAATAGACCCTGGAAAACCACCGAATCCTGCACACCATGTGTGTATGCATGGCACTCGC